TCATATCATATATGGTGATATGACATTTGTGGAATTTCATGGAATTAAGGGTGTGTCTAAAGGCCATTTTGAAGAACAATTTATCTAAATACGAGCCTATTTAATGTTTCTAAAAATGGTTTGGCACATGCGCAAAGAAAACGGTAATGGAAATTTTTGGCACAGTCCGCCAAAAAATACTTTATTTTGACAATTTTATCCTCAAAAAAAAAGGAAAACAAAATTAAGGTTGAGATCCAATATCTTCTCATTCGGTCAGTTTGTAAGGCATCATGGCGGACCGCGCTTTAAATGGGGTTTAAATTCTCATCAAATGTAATTTTGGTTGACAATGTTTTAGATCGTATGTGTTAGCTTCAAATAAATGCTCTTTAAGCCTAGTATTTTCAAAACAAAACAAAACAAAACAAGAGATAATTCGGTGGGTAAAAGCTGTTAATAATTGATGACATAAGTCTACAAGCGGGTGAAATGGTCTAAAACCCATGCTGGAGTTTTCAATTTTTAATTGCGATGCTGAACTGGCTTTTTGGAAATGATAGAAAAAATTTCATTGGAAAGAAAATAACAAATTTTAAAATCATCAATAGTAAACTGTTGTGTTAAACTGTATTTAAGAAGTATTCGGCATTGAAATAGTTGTAACCAGTCGATATAATTGTATAGTCGATACAAATGATGTTTAAAACATAAAATGGTGGCTACCATACCATAAAACACTGCTGTTATAGGACATGATTCCTAATATAAAATTTTTCTTTGGTTTTTCCCTGTAGACTTATACCTTAATATCCCTCTAATTGGGTGGATGTTTATTCAAGTCTACAAACAAATGATTTCAAAACACGATTCTTTGATATCAGGACCTGCTAATGCTAACTTAATTCAGATACAATGNCCCTGGAACATATTATGGTGGTAAGGGAGCATTCGTAGAGGGAAAGTTCAGACTGAATAAAGGAACATTGCTGAATATTGTCGTTGGACAGAGAGGAGGAAATTCAGTGGAGGTTAAAGGTGGACAGTCTACCACTTTAACAGCAGCTCAGCTTGGTCTTTCTATAGAGGACAATGCTGGAACTGGAGGAGGGGGAGGGAGTTTTGTCTACACCACAGGTAACACGTTGCTATTAGCTGCCGGAGGGGGTGGTGGTGCTTCTGGTGGTTATAATGGAGTGGATGGTCAGGCGGGTTCAAGTGCAACCAGTAGTGTGGGGAAAGAATCATCACAAGCTCGAAATGGAGGTACAGGTGGGCAGCCTGGTGAATGTAACACTGCAAGTGGTAACTTTCATGGAGGTGTAGGTGCAGGTTGGCATGGCACAGGTTGCGCCCGTGCAGGCTCACACCATGGAGGACGAGGTGGGTCACGTGATCAAGGGTGGATCGGAGGTGAAGCAGGGGCTATGAACAGTGGAAATAATGGCGGACCGGCACCAGGAGCAGTTGGAGGGTTTGGCGGTGGTGGAGGAGGATCAGAGGATAATGGTGCATCAGGAGGAGGTGGAGGTTACTCTGGGGGAGGCAGTGGTACCCACTCAAACCAAGCTGGAGGGGGAGGAGGTTCGTTTTGCAGTGGTCAGAGTTGTTCTGGTGTAACTGGTGGTAACCCTAATGATAACGGACTGGTTAAAATTATTGAGTTATCTTCATAATAACTAGTCACCCAAAGGACTTAAAGGTGAAGTCATCTGTTAGATTTGCCTTTCGCTTTTATCTTTTACCGAATCAATAGTACAAGATAGTTGTAAACCGTAGTTTAAACAATAATTTCACTTCAATTAATTTTCACGAAATAAAACTACAGGAAAAGAACAAAAAAAAAAAAGAGTCTCATTGGGTATGAATGTTGGCGGTAAAACTTTTCATCCGTTAGGCGTAAAAGTTAACAAATCTTATATATTCGTTGGTTTAATACAAAAGTTAACAAAAACATTTTATGTGGTTAATCAGGGTTTATTCCGTTCTGATCATTTCCTGATCATTTTAAAACCCAAAATAATTTTTCCTTGAGTTTGTATCCAAACAGAAGTATTCCGCCAGTCGTTAGGGCCATCTAGAATTCCACGACTTCGTCGCGATAGTTCTGGCGGATCTCTAATGGTATCCTGCAATGTGAAAGCTGTCAAACATCACCAAGTTTATTCCAAATTATGAAAGTGACTTGCTGTGATTTTATTGCTACCATAGTTGCTAAGATGCGGTCTCTCTGAAGCGGTCCAGTACATTTCAATTTGAAAAATCGATTTCTGTCAAACTTTGCCTACGAATCTCTCTTAGCCTAAGCGTAGCTTACTGGAACTGGCTTGGCTTTTCCAACGAATGCGAAATTAGTTTTTGAAGCGTGAAATTCTGTTCAGTTCTCTAAGGCTCATATATTTAAAACTCAGTCTCTCCAAAAGTGGTCCCGTTCATTTAATTTCGGTTTTAAAAATCAATTTCTTTCCAACTTTGCCCATTAATCAAAATAGTTTTTTCCGAGCGAAAAGGGCCAGTTTTAATACCGCCGATCATCAAAAATGGCGTAAATTGTCCTTTTCATCTTTTCAGAAAATTCTTACTTGAGGAAAATTTTTATTTGCTCATCGTATTAAGATCGATCCTTAATGAGAACCAATCGTGTTAGATTATGATTTTTAAAGGATTTTTTATACGGTTGAATTATTTTATTTGCTATCGTAATAGCTGCCATGACCGTAAATATGCAGCCCTAAATCTCCACTCAGCGCAAAAAATCCAACTTCTTCCCCGTGGCATTATTTATTTCGACTTACTTGAAGAGAATCGAAGAGTATGGAAATATGAAAATATCTTCTAACACATCCGACCGACATATTATGCTCATTTTCGAAAACAACACCAAAGAATATACAAAAAGCAGACTCAATTATATACCAAATCTATCTCTACGACCTGTAGTTGACGCTTGTATTGAGAACTTTGATGAGACCTTTTTATGTTTGACAATACCATAAAACAGCATCTAGGAGAAACGTATTCATCCCCATGTAGAAAAACACTGCCGGCAAAGCTGACTCTTCGCTCTGAGCGACCTATTGTTTTGCTTATCACTCAGTTGATAAGAAAGAAAGAAATCACTAAAAAACTCAGGAAAATAAGATTAATCCCGAGACTCTCCAGTGATTCGAACAACATGGGAACTATAATCACAAAATATGCTGACTAAGGGTTCTAGAAGTTCCATTAAGAGTTCTTAATGAGTCAGCATGACTAAGCGTTCCAGAAACTTCCTCGGTTCCAGAAACTTCCTCGGTTATTAGCACCAGTTCATTAGTTATCTGTAATTACGTAATCATTAGCACTTCGATCCTATTTAATGCTCTTTTTTTATTTCAAAAGTTGTAAATAACTGAAGAAGGTCTCTGACCGAAACGTTTTTTATTAAAATATTTTATAAATTAATTATAACAAACCATTCCTCATAACATTCAAACCATTCAGACGAACCATTCCTCATAACAATGGCTGCTTTAAATGCGATAGGAAAAGATGCGACCTCTGTCAGAAATTCTTTGTTGAATCTAAATCATTTCTCAGCTCTCAGACGGGCAAAAATTGCACCATTCACTCTAGACTTTCCTATGACTCTAAAAATGTGATTTACTTGGCTTCCTGTAAGAAATGTCGCCTGCAATACGCGGGATCTTCATGGTTGGTGCGCTCGACTCCGAATCGAGTGGTCCGGGTTCGAGCCCCGGCCGAGACATTGTGTTGTGTGCTTCGGTAAGGCACTTTAC